CCCTCACCGTTACTCTCTAAAAATTCCCCAAATTCAAATTTCTTCAGAGCAGATCTGTAAACAAGCCTAAAAAAATACTCGGGCCTCTTGCTCCATCTGGAGCAAAAAAAAAAAAGCGATGACCCAGACCTACCGAAAAAAGTATATTTATTGTATTCAAACAGGAATTGTGGAAGACAACCATTCTTCCATAGCAGAACAGGATGCAACCCACTAATAGTGGATTTCGCAAAACAAACTTCCTCACTAAGGTTGGAAAGTGCAGAAACAGTGAAAAATATCACTGTCCCACCCCTTAAAAAATTCTGGTTTACCGCACTCAACTGGATAAAGAAATCCCATTACGGCTCTCAATAAGCAATACTGTCAACCGGTTTAATTTCTGACCTTCGCAGCTTCCTTTAAAGAAGCCTGCTAAAACATTTAAATCTGCCAACGCTGGAAAATGAATGGCAAATTACAGCGCCCCACTTTCCAATCCAACCTGTTGCCTCTAACAATAATACAACTTGAATGAGCACTCGAAGTACAAACAGAATCGTTTAACGAAAAAAATTGAAATTTCCTCTACTGTAAGCAAACGAAGAAGTAAATGACATTATTGAAAAGACAACTTTGAAGACCTATAGACAACACAACTTCACATATTCAACCTCAATCATACAAGGTAAAAATGAAAAGAAATTTTTTTTTTTTCAATGAAACAAAAATTATAAAAAATTTTAACAAGCACTTGAGTTCCCAAAAACACATCAAAACAAGCATTTTTATCTACATCTGGTAGGCCAAATGCGCCATATGAAAGATGGTGCAGCATGTATTCCTGAATTAGTGAGATGCTTTCATACATTTAATGGACAAACCGGCTGTTTGACTATCGAGAATTCACATTTTTTTAACATTCTCATAAATCCACCAACCAGAAAGCACATTTGCTTAGTGAATTACAATCATGAGAGAGATTTTTAAAATGTAGCCTGGCCGACCCATTAAGCGTTCCTTTTTTTCTTTACTTTCTTTATTTTGTAACTTATTTAGCGGGAAACTAAAATGAAGAAACTAAACAACAAAATTTTTCAAGAGAACCGTCTTAAGAATTAGCGGTTATAGACCACGCAATAAACAACAACCATAAAACACCAACTGAAAACAAAGATCAAGTGTTACTTCCGTAATAAATATTCAGCCAAAAAAAACGACGTTTAAAGATGCAACAGATGAATTATTAGGCTGCTTAAAACGGCCCTGGAGGTCTTGGCGGCATCCCAGTCATAGGCGGCATACCATAACCTGGCTGCATAACAGACATACCAGGTCCGCCAATACCTCGAACAGCTCCTTGTAGACCTGAAACTCCTTTTAAACTTTACGCAACTAAAACCTAGAAATGCCACCTTTTTCCTCAATGATTTAAATCTACTCAAAAAACTTAGTAATATATAAGTCTCAAAATAATCATTTTTGTCTAAAGACCTGGTGGAGGCGCTCCAGGTACTGGTGGTACCATTGGCATTCCTCGGCCGGCAGGCTTCGCAACGCCTGGCCCTCCAACTCCCCCTGCTTTGGGCAGTTTGATAGAGTCATCATCTTTCGGTGGTGGTCCGTCCACGGTCATTGAGACAATGTGCTCTCCACGTAAAAGGACTAAACCAAGCGTTCTTTTTTCCTCACCCTGAAAACCAGAGGAACAATGTACGGCGGGGAAAAAAAAGATCGAAACTGGTTTCTGACAAAAACGTAAACTGAACGGTCCCTTCAAGGGGTGACAGCATGACATTTCGAACTTTAATACTAAAAGAAAATAACACTTATGAACCACAAATTACACAGCCAAAGTCTCGCATCTCATAAGTAAACGATCAAACTTAATAAAAAGGAGACATGGAAAAACAAGCTACCTCAGCTATCTTCTTTCCAGGTTTGGGTTTAATTCTTCTGAATTCTTCACAATCAGACAAAAGAATGTTCATATGTTTGTCAAAAGCTGAAAAAGGAAACAGTAAAGATTATTCCAATTCTCTTGCCCAATTACTCCTTTTCTTAAAAATTACATCTTTACTTACCTTTAAAATATCCAACAAAAGTTCTCGAATCCTGTAAGGCAACCTTCATCCTATAATTCAGGTGTGCCATCATCTTATTGTTTTTGCTAATCGTCTAAAAAATTAAAGATAAATGTTCGTATATTCAAACGCTGACAGCATAAGATTTTAACCAAAAAAAGAAAAACAAATTGTAAAAATAAAAAGGCTAAAACTCACCATTTTGAAACCCTATCTTTTGTGAAAACAATGGCAAAAAGCTGAAAAACAAGCCTCTGAGATGGTAAGACAAGTACTAGTTTGTAAAGATATATATCCCTGCTTTAACTCCCTAAACAGTAAATTGGTTACGTCTTTTTCAACAAAAAGAAAACGATGTTGTGCACCACAAAAAATGACGCAATAGTTTCAACAAGCTGCTAAACGCATACTCTAACCATAAAATTATTAATATTTCAAAGTTATTTGCAATTTCACTAAAAGCATTGAGAGATGTAAAAAAACATCACTTCCCTTGCTTGTTTAAAAAACTTCCACATAGAGCACATTATTATTTTTATTACTTTTTGCCTAATTTTTCCACAATAACGCCAAAGAACAATTTGCTGCTAAGCAGTACTGCAACAGACCTCTCAAAATAGTATCAGAGCGAGGAATTCTGCTAGAATTTTTTTAGACTGTTTCGTGTGCATACAACATAACATACCTCTAACAATATAGACCACCAACAAAAAAAGAAAACTAAAAAACGTCTTATCCATCATTTCAAAATTAAGCACCAATTCTTCTGAAATATATGCAGCAAAATTTTGAAAAAAAACATTAAGAATTGAAAACGCATCCGACCAAAGGCGAATATTTGACAAAAGTCAAGGAATATCAGATATACTTGAAGCTAACAATCCTAGTTTTATTACATCAGCTTTACTCCTGCTGGAATTAGTTGGGTAACCACTGTACAGCTACTGGAACGCCAGTAAGTGAAGTGAATAGAAAGAAGAAATGAAGAAACGAATTTCAGAAAACAAAAGACTCAGTTAGCGGATAATTTTACTGTTGACAATACTTTCCCTAACCCTCTATATCCCCAATCGCGGCAAAATTTTTTTTTGGAGCGGTCGCTGAACAAATTCGAATTGTCGCGAAGCAATACTCCAATACGGCCTCACTTAACACTCCCACTCTCGCCACGAAGAGATTTTACCTGGCAATCCGCCAAAACTGCTTTTAATTTTTTCTAATATTACATATATAATATTATAGAAAATTATATATATAATTTCCCGTTGTCCAAATTTTTTTACCTTAGTTTTTTGAAGAACTGTGCAACGAATGGCTTGAAGTCATGAAGAAATTCTCGCCATTCTCATGACGTTCTTTTCTTAGTCTGGATATGAGGAAGCAGTGATTCCTCTCTCTGCCTTGCAAGGCAAGCGAGCCTGTTTTTGTTAGAGCACAGCCACCGAGGAAGACTGACTTGATAGTGAAGAGAAGGGGGTTGAGTTCAAGAGTCAGATTCTAATGCTTTGGATTGAAGCTAGTAACCTAAATTTTTTGACATTATTACAATTCACTTTTCCTCATCCTAAAACTTATTCTACACTTTTCTTTTTTTTTTTTTTTTTTTTTTTTTTTTTT